GAAGAAAACATATTATGGATATCACGATGGCAGGATCTAGCAGTTGTGCTAAAAGAAAAGCAGATTCACGTGAAATAAAGGTATATAAATAGCAATGTGATACGTCCTTTGCATCTGACGGAGTTACGTTTCAACTGATGCACTCTATTAAGGAAGCTCAGTGTAAAGTGAGTCAATGCCTCACTACCAATTAACCTCAGGCAAAAAATACCAATTTTAAGAAAGGTAAGGTCTTCAAATGCTAAGTAAAAATATTAGCTCTGTCACTTCAAATGTTTGATACAATTAGAGTAGTGCTATTACGTTTGTAAAAGGAGTTACTATGAAGACCTCGCTCAACGTTTTCGTATACCATTGGTAAATCACATGAAGCAACATTCCTCATTTCACAAAATTCGGGACATTCTAATTCATGAATTACAACTACATGAACAGGTTATTGTGGTCTTTGTGACCACCATAAAAAAGGCCACTTTGATGTCATGATCATGTCTTAGTAATGTCTTGTGATCAGTCTTTATAATGGCTATATCTACGTTGTAATGACGTTGAAACAGACGTTAAACATTGCATTTCCAGAGTTAACTCCCGCTGTAATCATAAGTCATTTTGTTCCAACATGAACAATGGAACTGGAATGACCTCATTCGTATGGAACTAACTTGTTTCCCATGGAAAAAGAGGGTAGACCCTACAAAGCCCCTGCAATTCTCTTCCATTTGGGTTGTAGCGCCATAAATCGATTAGATGTAGGCGCGATGCGTCCGTCTTTTCTGTTTCTTTCTCCTCCTACACCTACTTTGTACTGAAATAAATGATTAATTGTCGATTCAAATGCAAAATGATTATTTGTACAGAAATGAAGTCGGGATTGGGCCCTTGCCGCTATGACTCACGAAACAACGCTCGATATCGGCATCACTTTTCGATCGTGTTCCGGTCATCTCGAGACACTAGGATGGTGGCGCCTGTTCCTCGTTCGGATCTTCGCTCCTCAATAAACGGTATCGGCCTGTTGCCTTATGTGGTTTAAATGCCATCCGACAGATGAGAATGAAGAATGCAGCCATCACCAGAACAAAAACCGTCAACGCCACGAAAGTTTCGTGTGAATGCGAAATAGGAGCTCGTACAGATACGATTATAACCGTTATCGTCAAAGCCAACGCAACGGAACCGGCACCGAATGCGAGAATTATTCCCTGTGTGCGTCGCCTTCCATCTCGAAGTTTTCGAATCTCATCTTCCAGCCTTTCGGCCCTCGTGAGACCGGCCTTGATGCGGGTCAACTTCACCGGTTCGAAGCTCACAGCATTTTCCCAGAGCGACTTCACCGCCGTGTTGAACATTGCCGCTTCTCGCTCGTCCTCTGGATCGTAGAAGGAATCCAGAGCCATCATCGGCACCATGCTCGCTTCCTTACACTCTTCGTGATGCTGCACGAAGGAATCCCAGAGCTCCCGCATCATGGCATCCAGGGTAAGAGCCGATCGATTCCGCTTGCGCCTTTGCTCCTCTTTCTCGCCGAACGACCAACGGCTGAAGACCACGACCAAGTTCTGGAAGAGGCCGGGCCCGTAGCAAAGGTTTTCGTAGCTCTTCTTGAGGCGAAGAACGTCCAGCATAGACCCGACGACGCTTAAGAAGTGGGTTTGCTTTCGCAGGTGACAAAGAAGAGATGCCTCCCGGAGCTGCTAAAACAAGTTACTCCTCTTGTCCTCGGCTTCTTCCTTGCCACATCCCGGCGTATCGATGATGCAAACGCGTCTGTTTACGTCTCCAAACAAATTGCCGTCCATAACCACGACGTCAGAGTCTGGGCCGGTAGGGGAATTGCTCGTACGGAATCCTTGCGTGTCGCCATCGGGGCCATAGCCGAGGAGGACGTTCCCCAGGGTTGACTTTCCACATCCTGTTATTCCAAAGAGGCAAATCTTGAGAGGTCGGCTGGCATCCATCTTGAGATTGGATGTGCTTCCATAGGCCATCTATGTCCAGGATGCTTCGTGAGTCCACCTTGTAGAAATTCAGAATTAAGCTGGCGTACCGAGGTTTCAGACAAGTGAATTTTTCACTTTCGTAGTTGTTTCATTTTGTAGTACCAACAGACCTTCAAATACCGAAAGGTCTTGAAATATTATTAGATGTTCTAGTAGCTATCTCATTAGATAGTTTAATTAACTGTTGATATATTTTTTTTCGATGAAAACATTCGGGTAGATTTTACCCTAGAACACAGGGAGTATTTGGAAAAAAATTAATTTATTCCGGGAATTTGTAAGTAGCAGGCACGAAAATGTTGCCTTAGCACATTTGCTTCCAACATCATGTGTTTCAGCTTTCTAACCCCTGATTCATGGAGGCTAGAGAACTCAGTCGGTCATTTAACATACGTACATACCTCAATGCAAAAGAAAAAGAAAAAAAGTAGATGAATTGTTGCCTGCATTATCGTTAAGTTGAAAATGTTTGCACCAACGACAACAGTCTGTCACGCAACGAAGCCTAACTAACTAAGCCAACTAACCCCGTGCTTTTCATTTCCTTGCCACCAGCAGTGTAGGGCACCCTGCGACTGATGGGGTACGAGGTACACAAGGTGTACAAGCACTGCTACGAACCAACTCACCGCTAGAGTCCGCTGCCCGCACACTTTAAAGCTGAAGTACCCGGCGTTGCCCGAGGAAATTCAATATTTCTGATTTTCAAGCATGAGTAATTGGGGAACATTAGCCTTAACATCCCCCAAAAGTTATTAATCTTGGGTGTAGCAAAATGCGCTCGTACCCCTTTCCTTTTTTAACCAGTTTTTTTTAACGCCTTGAATAATTCTTAAATTCATTTATAGTTAAAAGAAAAACTCCCTGAATAAAGTTTTTATCGATTTGAAATTTATTTTCGATGAATCTAGAGAATACTCCTACCAACTGCAGTGATCCAGTAATGGGATTACCCCGGAGTACCGTAATGCCGGGAGATGAGAGTTGGACGACATGAGAGGATGAAAGAAAGGGAGGGGACGGCCGGAAATCGAACTCGGGCCACCTGGTCGCCGCACCGGTTTGCTACCACGGCACCACCGAATCTGAGAATCAGTCGTTTCTCTCGACGGCATTCTAGACACTACAGTACTTCGGGAGTGAACATTTTTGGATGGAAACATAGTTCTCGACCTTCCCCCGGATGAAGGAGGAGGCCGTGCAAAATTTGGTCGCACTGGCTCAAAGGGATCCGAATGCATGAATAAATAGACATGCAAATTATTTTACTAATACATAGATGTAACATATCTACTGCATCATTTATTAAAGGGATAAAGTCTAGGGAAGGTTTCAGGAGGATAGATGATTTCAAGTATTGTTTTCCAGGCACGTCATCGACCACGGCAAAATATGCATTACCATTGTTGACCCTTCGCGACGTAGACTATCTCCATACGTGGAAAAACTTTCATATGTCGAAAAACATAAAAGCCCTGACCATTTCTTCTCATCCTCATTATTAGACATGCCCTCAAGGTAAAATGCAAATGACATTTTTTTTAAAACTTATTCACAACAAGCAACTTATCGGTCGACCTGCCCTTACGCGCTCTGCCTTCCTAGGTCATGGCTAAGCCGAAGGACGCTGTAAACGTACCAACTAGTATAAATTCATAAATACTTCCATAGATTACATCATCCCCAGAGAAAAGCAAAATGGTTTCCTTCGGTACACCATATAAATTGGTTTCTTCGCTCCTGCTAAATTCGCGATTTGCATGACTTAATTTATTCCTTTTTTAAGACATGTCATGGGATTGCTGTAGAACAGTAATGCAGTCGGACTCGAACTGCGTTAAATAATGACGAGCGGAACCCATGGAATACCATACATCTTATTCACTATAGAAGGAAGGTAAATATTCATACACTGCCTCGCGAAAATTTGTCGGGCAGCGTTAATGGCGAGTGACGGCTTTTCACGGCCAGCTACATAGTTTCGAGATTGGCCTTCCGGAGTTGGCATCTGAACGCCCTCGCTCGCGCATCGAACAAGAACTTCTCTCATTCGTGCCCATAACTCTACCGGCATTGGGAATTTGAATGCCGCGTAAAACACGTATGTTGTAATCGCCACAAGCAGTCGAAAGGGCTCGAAGTGTTCAGGCCGAAACGGCTCATCGAAGGGATATGACTTTTTATGGAGACTCACCGAAAGGAAGGGCTTTCCCGGAGTGATTCCCGACCATCGCAAGGCAAGAAAGAACAAGAACACATAGTTATCTGCGTAGTTTCAGACGTCGTTATCGCCGAGCAGATAAGGCGCTCCATGATCTAAATCGCTTACGGACTGGTCATGGGCGTTGTGCGGCTAATGACAACCGATGGGGACTATTTGATAACCCACTCTGCGCATGCGGCGAGCCCCAAATAATTACGAATATAGTATCAGGTTGTAACATATATTTTGCACGATTTTGCATCGATAGGTTCGCGACGTGTTTTATCGCGTAACCGTGCACGTGCGTCCTCTAATGCGCGATGTCCCCTAATGACTTGTTTGCATTCTTATTATTAGATTTTCTGCAAATTTTGATGAGTTTACATCGCGCCGTTTCATTCTTATTGAATAAAAAAGATGGAGGTGACGAAAGAGCATATTCCACATATGATGCTGTACGAGTTCCAGAAAGGGAATAACGCTGGCGAATCCGCAAGAAACATTACAAGTGTTTATGGAAAAGATGTTGGAAGCGAATGGATGTGTTCAGTAAGTTCAGAAATGGAACGTCAGCCTGAAAGATGAACAACGAACAGGATGACCGAATGAGTTAGATGATGAGTTGCTGAAGGATACACTCGAGAAAAACCCTATGTAACTGCAAAAGATATTGACAAAGAACTCAATGTGAGCCATATGACCACTCATCGGTATTTAAAACGGTTGGGAAAAGTGGTGAAACTTGGAAAATGAATTCCACATGATTTGCCTCAGACAGCATTAGAAAGAAAACGTCCTCCATTAAGCAATCGCAGAGGTGTTTTGTTCCACAAGGATAACGCGCGCCCTCACACTGCTCGAATTACCTCCGCCCCACTGGAGGAGTTTCACTGGGAAAAAATGCTCCACCCACCTTATTCCACGGACAAAGCACCTCCAGATTACCATTTATTCAGAAGTCTGCAAAATCATCTAGATGGGAAAAACTGCATTCCCGGGAAGCTGTCGAAAATGAAGTGTTCATTTTTTTAAATCGGAAACTCAGAGAATTCTTCAAACGTGGCATCGAAAAACCTGTGGACAGGTGGAAGGAGATTATAGGCAGAGAAGGGAATTATAACGATGATTAGTTTTTCATTTAATGTTATTGAATTTTACAACATGATAGATGACTGCCAAATGACTTCCCTCCATGGTGGCCTACGGACTCTGTACGCCGCTGGCGCTGATGGCATCACATGATTGAACAAGTACGCCCTGGCCCCACCCAACAAACGCCCCATTTCAATTCCTGACAATATTTTGTTCACATAGGTATTCAATACACAAACTGCCGATAATGACATGCATTGTTCCCCATAAACCGCGCTCATTCGTCAGAAAATGTCGCGTTGGTTGACTCCTTACGCTGTCGAGAAACGAATAATAATACCATGCTGCACTTCTGCTGGGGCGTCCATGTTTCTACAGCGGTTGCTTTGTGCTTTTGCCAAAGACATCCTACACAACTTCGTCGAACACAATTGATTGGAAATGAACGTGGGAGAATGCCTCCAACACCTATGCAAATACACAGAATTCTAGACGCTTCCATTCGCTATCACAGGGGAGTGGCTCACTTTCATTTGACTCTGCCATGTAAATACAACATACTAAGAATAACTCTAGTCAGTAACTTCTGTCAATAGCTATGCTCTAATGGGTTCAAACGGAATACCTTACCGCTGTAACACAACTGTGCATTGTGTGTTTGCTTTTCTCAAATTCGAAATGAAGAGCCCGGCATTGCTCAACTGACCATTCCACATTCATAGAGCTGATATCGTGCAGAACGGGTGGAATAACGTTGAGTGCACCGACCAACGCAGCGAGAGTGTGAATTGATGGTTCGACGCGTACGTGCGTTGCTCTCCGCGCAGCGCTACATGTGTCATGTTGTTTTGCAGCTAACGCAGCCCTACGCTTGTACGAATCCGAACTCCTCTTCCCGTTGTTCACTGGTCAATGCAGACATACGCAACGCCACCTTTTCAGATAAGCGGGCGCATCGCATCACGTTCACCTTTCATGTTTAACTCATCCAGACGGGCTCCATCTCTGTAAAAGAATTGGCTTGGAGGCCACATTGCATGTACGTATCTCCTGTCTTGCTTATGACTAATTAAAAATTTGCTATATATTCGAGGAACCATGTGGATTGAGATGGAACACGAGGAAAAATGTTTCACAGAGATATAACAGAAAATGTTGACAGGGGTATCATCTCCTACAGGCCTGGGATAGTTAATTTCATTTTAAACAAGAGAGGCACTTTGAAGTTACTGTAAATAAAAATAATAATCTACTGATAGCTGCCAGTTAATTTTAATACTGACGAACACGTTTCGTAATGCACGCAATCATGACCCTCGAAGTTTAATTCAAATTATAATTGAACAGTTTTCAAGTCGTTAATATTGGGCGGCTTCTCAATCAAAACAAGATTCTTGAGATATCCCCACGATGTAAAAAAAAATGGTGTGATGTCAGGGCTTCAAAATTATAATGATCATTGCCTGAATAAAAGAAGCTGAGCCTATCGGCGGTCTGTCGTTGCCTCGTTATTTACTTCAAATTTATTCAATCGGAATCAATTGGACGGTGTCCAAGCACTTCTTCAGAGGGTGAACGCTCTTGAAATTCTCCCGAAAAAAGAAATGGAATTAACTTCTTTCTCAGCAAAAAAGATATGAAAAAAATTATGAACTCTCATCTCTGAATTGAGAATTAATTACTTTGTCTTTTG